GCTCTTTTCCCTCACGAATGGATCATGGACATGCTCCAGGTCAGTATGTATGGATCATACGGATCCACCTCATTTCTTAATGGCCACAGGATGTTCCGTTGTACGGCCCTACCACACTTTATACCTCCAACCCCACATTGATGAACATCTGGATTGCCTCCAGCTTAGGGCTGTATCAGTTTTTTAGTATTGTAAGTAATGGCTACTTGACAACTCCAAAGCTTAGTGGTTTAAAACAAGCACTATTTATTATGCCTACGAGTCTGGAAGTCAGCTGAGCAGGTCTGGGCCAGGCCAGGCCGATTCCCAGGTGGGTTCACTCAGCCATCCGTGGCCGGCTGGAGGATCAGCTAGGGCCTGGCTGGTCTAGGATGGCCTCGCCTGAGATGATTTTGTTTTCTTCCATGTGGTCTCTCCTCCTGCAGCAAGCTAGCCTGTGCTTGTCTTCACGTTGGTAGCAAGTTTCCAAGAAAGCAAGTGGGAGCATACAAGGGTTCTTGAGGCCAACACTTGGAACTGGCATATGATCACTTCTACCACATTCCACTGGCCAAAGCTAGTCAGAGACCCATCCAGATTCAAGAGGTGGAGAAACCAATGTCACCTCTTGGTGCAAAGAGCTGCAAAGTGACATTGGAAAGAGATACAGGAAAGTATGGGGAACTGGGGCCATTTTGGTAATTGATCTACCAAAGAGGCTGTGACAAACGATTCCATCAGGCTGGTATTTCTGCAGATGCACAGGAGGGACTGCGGGGTGGTCAGACTCTCACGTTCTTTGGGGAGAGTGTTATTAACTGCAGAGTGGTTCTCCAAAAGATTGTACCAGTGTCCACTCCCACCAACCTTCAAAACAGATAAATTGAAGGAGAGATGGAAAACGTTTACAGATCCTTCCTGTCTCTATGGAGTCATCCTGGGATCTGTTGCTGACACTTGTCACTCTCTAAATTCCAGAGCAAAAATTATAATGATTATTGTAGAAGACTCAGAGGGCCTGACGAGGTGGTGAGTAGTCTCCTGCCTCCAGCCCCAACAGCCTGGTCTTTCCTGGTCTGAGGCCTGACATCCTGGTCTTTAATCCATGTTGAGTTATTTTTTTCTCTGTGGCGTGGGGAAGGGGTCCAACTTTATCCTTTTGCATGTGGATATCCAGTTGTCCCAGCACCATTTGTTGAAAAGACTATTCCTTCCCCATTGAATTGTCTTGGTTCCCTTGTTGAAAATCAATTGACCATAAATGTGAGGGTTTATTTCTGAACTCTCATTTCTTTTCCATTGATCTATATATCTGTCCTTATGTGAGTACCACATTGTCTTCATTACTATAGTTTTGTAGTGAATTTTGAAATTGGGAAGTATGGGTCTGCCAACTTTGTTCTTTTTCAAGATTATTTTGGCTATTCTGTGTCCCTTGAATTTTTAATAGACTTATTGTTAAATAGACTTTATTTTTTTAGAGCATTTCAGGTTCACAGCAAAACTGAGCAGAAGATGCAGAGATTTCTCATATAACACCTGCTCTCACACCTGTATAGCCTCCTGCGTGATCAACATCCTGCACCAGAGTGGTACATTTATTACAATTGATGAACCTATGTTGACACATCGTTAGCACTCAGAGTCTATAGTTTACATTAGGGCTCACTCTTAGTGTGATACATTCTCTGGGTTTGGACAAATGTATAATGACATGTATCCATCATTATAATATCATACAGAGTAATTTCACTACCCTAAAAATCCTCTGTGCTTCACCTCACTCCCCTCTGCCCCCAGCACCCACTGACCTTTTTAATCTCTCCAGAGTTTTGTCTTTTTCAGAACGCTATATAATGGGAAACATATAGTATGTAGCCTGTTCAGATTGGCTTCTTTCACTTAGTAATATGCATTTAAGATTGTTCCACGTCTTTTCGTGACTTTATAGCTTATCTCTTTTTAGCATTGAATATTCCACTGTCTGCGTGCACCACAGTTTGTTCATCCATTCGCCTACTGAAGGGCATCTTGGTTGCTTCCAGCTTTTGGCAATTATGAATAAAGCTGCTAGAAACATCTGCGTGCAAGTTTTTATGTGGACATAAGTTTTCAGCTCCTTTGGGTAAGTACCAAGGAGCAGGACTGCTGGATCATCTGGTAAGAGTGTATTTAGTTTTGTAAGAAACCACCAAATTGTCTTTCAAAGTGGCTGTACCATTTTGCATTCTCACCAGTGTTCCCTTGCATTTTCATACAAATTTTAGGATCAGTTCGTCAATTTCCACAAAAAAAACATCTAAGATTTTGATAGGGATTGCATTGAATTGGCACATCAATTTAAGGACTATTGCAATGTTAACAATATTAAGACTTCCAATCCATGAATATGGGATGTCTTTCTGTTTATCTCAATCTTCTTTAATTTCTTTCAGAAATATTTTGCAGTTTCCAGGGGACAAATCTTACACCACCTTGGTTAAATTTATTCCTAAGTATACTATTCTTTTTGATGCTATTGTAAATGGAATTGTTTTCTTAATTTCATTTCTCATTGCTACGTGTAGAAATACAATGACTTTTGTATATTGATGTTGTACTCTGTGCTCTTCATTGTTTAATCCAGTGTTTCCCACATATATCCGACCAGGGGAACTCTTGTTTCAAGTACCATTTATCAACACCCCCCAGGACTAATGTTCCTCAAGACACTGTTGGGAAACATGAATCCAGCCAACACCATCACCTTGTACTTCCCCAGGGCTTCGCGTGGCCCTGTGCTCTGAGGCCTGTGTCCGCGCTGCACCCTCTACGGGAGTGTCCTCCCCACCTAGGCTGCTTGGGAAATTCCTGTGTCGACTTCTGAGGCTTCTTGGGTCTCTCCTGCTCTGCACCTCCTTTCCTGATGTCCTCCTCCTCTCCCCTCCTCTGGGCCACCACAGACCACCAGTTGCTGTGCTGCCCTGTCCTTGTCTGTTTACACATCTGCCTCCCTCCTTGAAGGAGGCTCAGGCTCAGAGCAGACAGCAGTGCGTTCGCGGCATGAAAGATCGACTGAAGGGATGACAAGAGGAGGGGGATGGGTGCAGAGCCCCTGCCTGGCCTCTCCCTCCTGTCCTTCTTCCTCTCTCTCCCTCCCTCGCTTCGTGGCTTGGTCTCAGCCCCCACACCCCATGTGGGACCTAGCACAGTCCTGGGTCTGGTCCCGTCCAGCTCGGTGCCCTTGTTCAAATCTGTTCTCAGGGCCAAGCACACAGTTTCGCTTTAACCTGATGTCCCTTGTTGGTCCAGCCAGAAGGAACCTACAGGGAGGGCCCAAGAGGCTTGTTCTCCTGTGACCAGTTACCTCAGACCTGGGAATTTGGTTCTGTCCTCCTTTGCTTCTCTGAGCCTCCCTGTTCCCACTATCTGCCAGTGTCAGCCCTGCCCAGGCCCAAGGGCCTAGAGGGGCATGTAGGGCATGGAAGGTGTGCCATGCATCCGTCAGACAGAATTGGCGTTCAGTGGGCACCAGAGCTAGAAGCCCCACAGGGGACAGGTAATGTGCTGGTCTCATAGCTGGTGTGCAACTCTCACAGGGTATTAGTGCCAAATCCCCTCTCTGAGCTGGTGTAGGAACCAGCTGGGCAGGGCATCAGGCCGTCTGGCTAGTGGCCATCTCCTCTTCTCCAGCCAGGCGGGGGTCCTCCCTCTGCATCCTGCCACTCCTTCAGGGACCCTCCCCCCAGAGCCTGCCCTGATGAGCCTGCCCCACGCACGGCCCCTCTGTCCAGCCTGTCACAGGGGCTTCCCCTACAGCCTCCCCTTGATCCTTGCCTCTGTGCTGGGCACACTGGAACACTTGCGGGTTACTGGTGGGATTTGGTATGCCCACCTCAGTACACAGCCAATGACGAAAGACATTGTATAGTGTGCACTCCCTGTGTGTCAGACTGCAAAGTCTTTATACTCATCATCTCATTTTAATCTCCACAACCATGAGATTAGACCACCATTTTACAGAGGAAGAAGTGGAGGCTCAGCCCTTGGGAGTCACCTGCCCAAGATCTCACAGGCATAACTCAGTTGTGGAGTGCGTGCTCCTAAGTGCTGTGCCACTCTGCCCCGGGACTGCCCATTTCAAGCCCAGAACGCAGTGGGCTACTGCTGGAGGCCATGGATGACTGCTCTTTGCACACACTTGGGGAGGAGAGATCAAAGGACCAGTTAGGTGAGGCGATCTCTAAGTCCCCCTGCCCTTGAACTCTTATGATTCTGGCACACAGCAGTTGCTCAATAAACGTTGACCAGTAAATGACAGCATGAATGAAACCTCGGGGTCTGAGGCTACACGGTCTCAAGCCCAGGTTGCAGATGTGGCATCTAGTGGTATGGGGAAGGTGGGGTGCTGACCCAGGTGGCCTGTGTCCCTGCTGGCCCTATCGGGAAGGACACTGGGTGCCTGAGCCACCTTCCCAAATCCCACCCCCCTAGATTAGCCCCAGCCAGTCAGCTGGGGAGTTTGGCAGCCACCAAGAGGCTGGCCTCACTATCTCTCCCTGATCCTTGAGAAGGAAGCCTTTATCAGCAAACGCTGCTTTTGAAAGCCCTAATTGTCAAACACAGTCCCATCAAAGCTGCAGAAAGGCAAGCCGCCCCCACCCACTTCTCCCCAGCAGGCGCGGCTGGCTCCCCACAATGGCTGACGGGTGTATATTTTAAAATATCTAAATGCAGCTGAAAATAAAAATTATTTACACTCCCCAACCAAGCTGGCAGGCTGCTTTAAAGTGTGCGCTGATGGTGTTTCTCCCTCCCGTCTCTCCCTTGCTGATAAAGGGCCATAAACCAGGCTGACACATTTATAATAACCTTTTCCTTCCTCTCCTTCCTCCCTCTCCTGGGCTCCCGTCTTGGTCTCTCACTCACACACTATGAGGGATAATTTTTTATTATTCTGCCATTAGCAGAGAATAGAGAGTTTGATGGGGGGGAATGAAATGTCAAATCATTTAGAAAGAGAACGCGAGAACACAAGCCGGCAACTTTTATTTTTCCCCATCAGCAGCGGCTGTTGCGATGTCACCATCGCATACAGGATTTGGAAACTTATTTTTCCATATCTTCCTCACCTCCATTTTATTCCCCACTTTCCTTCCTGAGGGGATCAGAGCCAAGTCCACTGGGGCTGGCTGAGATTTTACACCAGGTGGCTGATGGAGCCTGGGCCCAAGTGCAAGGTGTTACGGAACTTCCCTGCTGAGTTTCTGCCCCAGGGGGCTAGGCATATCTGGGAAGCAGGTGTGGACACGGTGGTCTGCAAGCATCTGTTTCTAGGAGGAGGTGGGAGGGCAGGCAGGGGTTTTGGAACAGCCTGACCTCATGGACACGGCAGTGGAGAGGCTGAGGCAAAGGCCGGAGTTCCAGGAGTGTAGCAGAGTTGGAATGAGGGGCCGTAGATCCCTGTAGTCCTAACCAGCAGCACCTTGGAAACAGGAAGGGGGGATTAAGGACAACTTTGGGGGCAAGAGGAGACCAGGCCCTGGGCACAGGATCAGCCTTCTTATGGGGGGGCATGGGCAGAAGGGTGCGGTGAGACATCCCCCCAGGGGGCTTTGCAGCCTGTGGTGTTAAAGAAGAATGTAAGAGGACTGTGAGTGCAGGAAAAACATCCAAGGAAATCTCAGAACAGCCTGTGGTCCTGCCTGGGGAGAGGAAGGTTATTCCCTTTATGGTGACCTACTGTCACCCACTGGCTGGCAGGGTCGGGGTGTGGTTGGGAGAGCTTTTCCAAAGAGCCTGGAGTAAGAGGTCCATAGAGGCCCTGTGGCTTTCAGAGCCAGTGGAGCTATACCATTTTTCTAAGTGGACCTTTCTAAGACATTTCCTCCTGGTCCTGAAGCTGGAACCACAAGCCAAGCCCTCTTCTTTAGGTAGATGTCTGGCCAGGAGAGTGCTCTTACCACGAGGACTGCCTTGGATCTCCTCATGATCCAGCTACTTCTTGCCCCCCAGGGCCCCTCAGGCACTGGTAGAGATGGGGCTGGGTTCCCCAGAATGTGCCCTCTATGGGGTGTGACGATGGAATGCAGGAGACTGGCCTCCCCACGGGAGGAAGCTGAACCCTCTGCTAGGAGATGCTCCTTCACCGTCGAACCTGGCTCTTAGATGGGACACCCAAGGCCACTGCTGCTCTTACCAAGATCTGGTTGCAGGATTCACACCAGGGGCTGTGGAGGCCCCAGAGAGGGCTTTGTGGAGGAACATGGTGGATTTGGGTCGCTGAGAAGTGGAGAAAGAAGAGTGTTCAGGGCCTCACTTCGCAGCTCCAGTTCGCACAGATGTGTATGTTTAGTATGACAATCTTCCGACAGACAGTGGAAAAGCATCTATAGGAAGGGGTACCTTTGGCTAATTCTTACAAAGGCGTCCTATGGCCTAGTGGTGGTTTGGAAGATATGCTAGGTAAGGAAATTACGTGAGCCAAGATGGGAGGTGGGACTCAGAGAAGCCCAGGGCCTGTAAGGGTAGCATGCCTAGCTCTTGCTGGAGAGAGTGGGCCAGGTAGGGCTGGAGGGTCAGGTCCTGCAGGCAGCATGAATGCTCCCACAGCTGATAAACATGTGCACGCACACATTGGCACAGACACCCAACTGAGGCAGCTGTAGGGAGGCATGAAGTGGCCAGTGGGCATTGAGCCTACTCTGCTCTGGCTCCCATAGTATGCACTGTCCCACCATTGCAGGACTGGCCTACCCCACTTAGCCAGCAGGATGGTGGCCCCATTGGGCTTTAGAGGCCAGGAAGTGGCCAGTGGTTGATCCCTGATCAAACCCTGACCCCAGGGCAGCTGCTCATTCCTTTGGCAAATGAAAACTCCAGTGATGGATCTGTATTCGAAGTCCGTTGGAAATGGAGGACATGACACTTGTGATGGTCTCTCTCATTCCCTGAGTGGCCACAGGGAGGAGACATGGTCACAGGGAGGAGACTCTATCTCCCCCTGCCCCCTCCCCCACTCTCAATGTACAACATTCTTTCTTCTCACCATCAAAGTGACATCTGTCTCTCCATGGGAGGGAGGAACCAGCGTCCTCAGAGCACACTCTGGGCTTTGATGTCCAGCTCAGCTGACTTGGCTAGCCAGGAACGGCTCCTCCTCCCCCTCACCAGGGCCCCAGGGCTGCTGGCCCCTTCTGGAACCTCTCCTTCACACACTATTTGTCTGGCTCTCTCCTCTGACCCTTCTCCATCTCCCTTTTCTCTGCATCTGCCCAGCTCTGCTCCCTCCTCAGCCCGAGAGCCCCTGGGATCAGCCCTGGCCCAAGAACCTCCCCCTCCGCCCAGCCCCCTGATCTGGACGTCGGTGGGGGGGGGGGGGTTCCAGCATGCTCTGTCCTTGTGTTCTCACTCCCCAAGGGCTGGATTTGCCCCTGCCCAAGACCCCAACCAGGCCCATTTCCCCATCATCTCACTGTTTTGTGTTCTTTCATGTGTGTACATGCGTATGCATGTGTGTATGCGTGTGTGTGGCATCTGCTGGCCTCCTACTCCAGGACAGGAAGATCCCCAAAGTCCGGGCCTGAGTCCTCCCTCCTCTGTCCCTCAGACAGGTACCCACAATGTGGGGCCTAATTTGCTTTCTTGTTGTTCCCCAGGCAGGGTGGGGTAGGGCCAGGCACTAGTGAATGAATAAGGGGTGATGGAACCTCACAAAGTCTCAGAGCCTCCAGAGGCAGGTGCGGGAGAAAGGACATTCTGACTGAGAGGAAGCCCTGGAAACTCCAGATGGGGCAGCATGACAAGAGGGCCACAGCCATCCTTCTTCTCAGTCCAGGCCCAGCAACACCGCTGGGGATGGAGGCGGCTGGCCCACCAGGAGCAGGGGGTTGAGGCAGGAGCTGACTTTCTGTCTGTTACTCATTCACCAAGTTTCCCATGAGGTGGGAAGCATAGCTAACGGGTGGGCTAGCGGGTATGGCAGTCACTTGAAGAGCAGTGGGCCCCAGGGGAACAGAGCCAGGTTCCCCAAGATGAGCCTAGGACTAGGTCCACTCTGAGTCAGGGGGTGGGCAGCCTCCTGGAGACCCCGCTCCGCTGCTGGATGCAGGTCATCTACCCTTCTCTCCCCTGTCTCTCTGTTTCTCTTTCTGGGCAGTGGGCCCATACGTGACATAGACACACATACATGCTCACATAAATGCACGCAAAGACACATGGGCGCACGTGCATGCTCATATTTGCATGCCACACATTTAACAGCAGTGCAACACACTATGCCTGCACACACGTACACACAGACACACCCCAGGCACACAGCATTCCTGCCTGCTCCTCCAGGCACTGGCTGCAGGGCTTGCACCTCCTTGCCTCTGCGTACAAATACGTCACCATTCACGGGCCCTAAAGCAAAGTGTCCCCTCTTCTCCATCTAACTCTTCCGGAGTCACCAGAGGCTCCTGACTCAACAGCCCCTCCCCTCCAGTTTCCATCCTCACATACCAGGTCTGTGCTCTGCTCCAGGCTGCCCCTCCTCCCACTCTGACCCCTCTTTTCTAGGCCTGAGGACCGCAGGGGACAGGGGTGGAGCATGGAGGGAACAGAGAGATGGGCAGGGCAGTTCTCCCCATTTTGCTGATGAGGCCATTGAGGATCCAACAGGGCACATGGGCTTTTTCTCCATATTCACCCCAGATCAGCCTTCTTTCAACTGAAGGGAAAGTCCAGGACCCCCACATCTAGCAGCATGAGGGCCAGACCCCCTCCTGGGAGAATCAACAAGATGCAGCTGCATCTGAGCTGGGCCCTGGTGGGTAGAGAGGATCCAAAAATATGGAGATGGAGGGCCAGGTTCCTCCAGGAGGAGGTAACAGCTTGAGCAAAGGCTAGGAGGAGGGAAAATGCAGGGTACAAACGACCCAGCAATCCTTGAACCTGTGTGTGAGGAGGACAGAGGGAGAAGGGCTTGGAGAGGCTGACTGGAACGTGAGACTGCAGGGACCTGGAGCCAGGCAGAAGCCTTCCCGACAGCCTCGACCTCCAGGAGAGACTCCAACTGAGATGTGCGCCCTCAAGGCCTCAGAGAGTGGGGACAGTAGGAGCCCGTCCAGAGCAGGGTGTGGGCTCCTCCCCATGGCCCAGGAGCTGTCTGGGGCCAAGAGGCTGCCCTGTAGGCGAGGCTCCCACCGCCCACTTGAGATAGGTGGCTGTCCCCAGAGCCACCACATGCTTCTGCTCAAGGACTTCTTTGAGCTGGATAGGATTTATTATTTGAGAATTGGCCACCCCCAACTCACTTTTTCCATGGGCTTGTATGACTTAGGAGGGTCCCAGGAATGAGCACCTGGAAAAGGGATGGGTCTTGTTCTCTGGCTCTGCCGCAGACCTGTTGAGGATCCAGGGTGGGGGGCTTGGTGGGGAGTGTAAGCCCTCTGCACTCTCGTTGGCTGAGATCTCTTGTGGGCCTGGGGGTCCAAGGCTAGACCAGTCCAAGGAACTATTTGGTCAGAGGATACTTTTGGGAATTCCAGGTCCCACATGTTTTACGTTTTGTGTATTGCTTCTTTATTGTTATTGCTGATGTTCTATTTGTTCCAAGTAAACATCTGACAATGTCCAGGTCAATGGATTCTGCAGATGAAATGCTCCAAGTGCAGTGTCTCATCCTAAAATCACCTGAAATGTTGGCAATTTATGTTGCCACCCAACACGTGTGTGTGTGTGTGGACAGACACATGTGTGGTAGAATGAGGCAAAGCAGGGCCAGCCATTGCCTCCTGCTCTGTCACAACTGACTGGGCTCCAGGACAGAAGGATGGCCCAGAGGCAGCAGCCTGGGAGAAGGTCAAGGAACGTGGTAGGTGGTGGGACCAAGGCAAAGGGCAGGGCCAAGGCCGGCAGGACCTCAGGGGCAGCAGGCCTGAGCAAAATCCTGAAGAAGGGAGTGTGGCTGTGTCACTTGGGAGCCAGAGACTGGACTAGGCCCCACACAATCTCATGCCCTCTCTGGGCCTTGGGTTCCTTTTCTAAGGACCAAAGCAGGCAGTGGGATGGCTCCAGAACCCTAGCCCAAGGTGCCCCCAGTTCCTGGAAGCCCAGGCATGGCAGCGCCAGCTGGCTGCCCCACGTGGCAAGAGCTCCTAGGCCCTAAGAATGGGCCTCCTTCGGGGAGGCAGGTACTGCGAAGGGCCTAGGCTGACAGGGCAGTAAATGAGGCAGGGAGGTCATAAATCCTGTTTCAGGAAACCAGCCCCGCCTGGCTCAGTGACGGCCACTTAATTTAACCACTGCTGTCACAACAGCTTTGTGGGCATCCTCGCCTGGGCCTGTGGGATTTATGGCCCCAGAGAGACCTTCTTACACTTCAGGCACTGGCCCAATGCCCATCTCCACCCAGTCCTGGCCAGACCCAGGGTCAGAGCAAGAAGCCCTGTCAGTGAGGGTACTCCAGGTGCAAGCAGCCCCTCTATTCTCTCCCTGGGCACCCCCAGCCCCCTATTCTACTCTGAGACACGTCACTTCTGCTGGTGAGGCAAGAGTGAGGGCCTCCAAGACAGGGGCACAAACTGATGGCTCTGCCAGGTTCCCGTCCCGGAATGCAAGGGGATACTCCCACACCTGCTCTGAGGATCCCAAGTGGGTCTGCCCTCCCCCTGTGGATCTCCTGGGAGGCAGCAGCCCTGGCTCATGCAAGATCAGAGCAGGCCATTCACTGACTCAGCCATAGGCCTGGGTCCCAGAGCTGCCTCCTTCAGCATCCAAATAAAGTTCCACCGGATCAGGTAATCCTTGGGAGCCATCGCAGGGGGAGTGAGAATACTGATACCTTGGCCACCTCTGCCAAAGTCTACACAGACTCCTATTGGGCTCCCTCCCACTCAGGTGGAGCCACGTGACATCCTATGGTGTCTCTAATGCTGGTTTTGAGTCCCAAATTAATGGGATCCCTTACAGCCAGTAGCAGCCACAGGGCTGGGCCATGCTGGGCTTCTATTTTGGAACCAGGAAAGCCTGGGGTTAAATCCCAGCTCTGTCCATCCCTCACTGTGTGACCTTGGGCAAGGTGCTCAACCTCTCTGAACTTGTTTTATCATTTGTGAAATGGTGGCACATATGACTGCTGGAGAATTCTGTGAAGTAAGATACCTAAAGTGTCAAGTCCAGGGCTGGCACATTATAGGTGCTCAGTGAACAACAGTCCCTTTCTGAAGTCTGATGGAGCTGCCAGGTGGGCTGCCTCTCAGCAGAGAGCCATCCAAGGGAGGGGATGCAGCTGTGCCTCATCACTACTTCCCTCCTGGAGCCAGTCTGGCAGGATGGGCACTGCCACCTGCTTTCCAGGGGCAGACCTCCCAACTTGGGTGGCAGGAATAGGTTGGGGCTGGGGCGGGTGCTGCTGCCAGGTTCTCCTCTCAGACTTAGTGGGGTGGGGTCAGGGCCTAGAGGCCTCCAGGAAGCCAAGCCCCTCCTGGCCTCTTGTTGTCTACCCTCCCACAAACCCCAGTGGCTGGGCCAAGCCAGGCTGGCCTAGATGACTGGCTGGCCCAAAAGAGGCTCCTTGACATTGCTAAGACCACCCCATCCAGCCTCCTCCAGCCCTGAGCCCCAGCACCCAAAATCCCAAGTTGACCCAGGACAAAGATCCTGAGTCAGCAAGGCTGTTGGAGACCTTCCAGCCCAGCCTCTGCTGCACACATGGGGAGGCTGAGGCCCAGGGCAATCATCCTGTGGCCTGTTGCCCATGCAGGCTGGTCGTACCTGCTACACAGGCCTCCTCTCTGCCCTGCCAGAGGGTGAGCCCGCTGTGGGTGGGAACCCAGGCTCTCTTTCAGCCAGCTTCTCCATCTGCCAAATGGACCCTTTGCCCCATGTGCCCAGATCTGTGAAGGCTGCTGAGGGAGCCAGAGGAAGGAGTGGACAGAGTCTCTGTCCTGGATCCCTGGTGGAACAGGCCACCTCACCCCCAGGGCAACATGAGGAGCACAGCTGGACGTGGGCCACAGCGAGGGCTGAGGAGCCAGAGGATGAGCACCCAGAGGTGGCATCCTGGTGGAGGCACAAAAATAAGTGGGCTCAGAGAAGCAAAGACTCAACGGCTGGAGGGACCCCAGGCTTTCTCCATGTGGAGCCTCCTGCCTTTAGGAAGCAGAAGATATTGGCTCCATTTCACAGATGAGGTTACTGAGATTTGGAGGGGCAATTGGCTTCCTTAAGGTCACACGGCTGGTAAGGGACAGTCTTAGGCCATCTGAAGAACAGCTGGAGCAACACGACATGTTGAGGCCAGTAGGGTACAGGGTGGGGAAGGGATGTGGGAGATGGGGCTGTGGGAGGAAGCAGAAAGCCTTGGAAAGACTTTGGAATGACAGTAGGGCCACTGTGCAGGTGGCAAGAGTTCCACAAGTCCTGGCCTGCAGCTCTGAGAGGCCAGGAAGGAGGCACCACCCCAGCCCCTCTAATAGATTCCTCTTTGATCATGTTTTTGTGACCTTTGTAAAAGGCAATTTAAATTCTAATTGTCCTGTGAGTACCAGAGGAATCAATTAGAGACAAGAGCAGCTAATTATGCAGGGGAGGCAAGCCCAGGGCAGGCGGTACAGGGAGGTACAGGCTCCCCACACCCCCAATGCCTGCCTGGTGTCCTCCAGCCTCTCCTCCCCAGTATGAGGGTGGAGGTTGTTAGGGTCCATGGTGCAAAAGGAGGCTCCTCCAGGCTGGGCCAGAAAGCTGAGTGGGAGGTCCTCCAGCCCCAAAGGCTGGTGCCCTCCTAGGCCTCTAGGCCCACCCACAGCCCAGTCTACAGGTCTCCTTACTTAGGAAGCTGTCACCACCACCACAGCTGCACCTTCCTTCCACCCCCTTCCACTGGCCCTGCCCCTCCCCACAGAGCTGCCCTTCCCAGCCACGGAGGTCCTCTGTCCTGAGCCCTGCCCTGCCTGGCTCTGGAGGGTGGAATCTGGGAATGGGACCCCTGAGGAGACAAGTAGGCCTCGCCGTACACCAGCACACCTGTACATACCTGGATATATCCATCACAGACTTTGGCCAATGGGACACACTCCTGGTGTTCAGAGTTGGGCCTGGTGTGGCGAGGTCCCTGCCTGTTCTCCCACTCTGGAGCCTCACTTGGTTCAAATGCAGAGTGATCACCAAGCAGAGTTCCTCAGCCCAGCCTTCAAGGCCCTCACCCACACCCATGCCTCTCTCAGGCCCCTCAGCCAGGCAGCACCCTTTGTCCCTGGGCCCCTGGGGCTCAGTCACACCTCTGCTCATTCCCTAGCACAGAAAAGCCTCAGGCTTCTCCAGTTCTGCCCTTTCTGAGCCTCAGAGTTGTCTATAAGATAGGGATGATAATTGTTATGTTGTTAGGTATCATCCTCTTGTGAGGATGAAATGACATAGTGTATATAAAGCCCCAGAACAGGTCCTGGTACACAGTAGGTGCATAAAAAATGTTATTTGTTGTGAACATCCACCACCCCACCAATGGACTCATCTCGCCCACTTTCCCCCAACAGAGCCTACCAGCAAGTGTGAGGATGGTCTCTCCGTAGACAGTAAGGCCCCTGAGAGCAGGATTGAGGCTGGTTACTCCTGTGTCATCAGTGCCCACACAGAGTAGGCATCAATTAATTGTCATTGGACTGTACTAGTCCCTCAGGGACTGAACACAGGCCTTCCTGGAGCGTTGCGATCTCACAGTATCAGCCAAGTGTGTGTCAACAGGCAAAATGATTGCCACACCTAACCCAAACTCAGCACTCACCATGTGCCAGGCACCAAGCTCTTAAGAGAAATTAATTCATGTTAATACTTAGGACAACACTATGGGGTAAGAGCTATTATCACTCCGTTTTACAGAGGAGGAGACTAAGGCACAGAGAGGTGAAGTCACCTGCCTGTAACCACACAGCTGGGATGGGCAGCCTCAGGATTTGAATTCCAGGCAGTCTGGCTGTGGAGCCTGGAACTCTTAAGAACCACACTAGACTCACCAAGGGAGCATAATGTTCCGTCTAGGTCCAGTTGACCAAGTTGAGCTGCGTGGGTCACAGGACACAGTGAGACAGGGAACAGCAGCAGGGCCAGGAGAGTAAAGAGCTCCATCAAAGGTCACTCTGTCCTCGGGACCCACAGAGCCAGAGGTAACTGGAGAGTTTCACAGGCCTGTGCGACCCCTGATGCCACAGTGGTGACTGCAAGGAAGCTGCCACTGGCTCCTCTAGGGTGACTTTGAGTCTTTCACCTTCTTCAACTGTGCCACCAAGATTCCAGTATTCAGACATAAGCCATGAACCCCCCAAAAAGCTGATATTCGCTGGGCCTGCACACTGGAGGGGGTTTACCTTGCCTTCATTGCAAGACCTGCCCTTCTTGGTACTCAGACTGACCAGAATCAGAGTTCAGTGTGGAAGAAGGGTCAGGGCTCAGTGTGTGAGCAGGATCACGGCTCAGTGTGTAAGCAAGGTCAGGGCTCAGAGTGTGAGCAGTGTCAGGACTCAGTGTGTGAGCTGGATCGGGGCTTATGTGTGACCAAGTTCAGGCCTCAGAGTGTGGCCAGTCAAGACTCCGTGTGTGACCAAGTCTGAGCTCAACGTGTAACCAAGATTGAAGCTCAATATATGAGCCAGGGATACACCCACTTTAAAACCATGAGAGGTGCACTTGCCAGGGGAGGAGCTACAGAGTGAGAAGAAAAGAGAGAAGAGCGCTTCAGCCTCAACCCTGAGACACTTAAGGGATAGGAGGGGAGACACCTGCCAAGGAGAGTGAGGAGAGGCCGCCAGAGATGGGGAGGGAAGCCAGGAGCCGGTGCATCATGGAGGCAGGTCCAGTGCCACAGGAGACCATCCCAACAGACCAAACTCACTGGGTTTGCACTTCAGAGGTTGCTAGAGGCTCAGTGAGCATCGCTTTACTGGGGAGAAATCAAATCCAAGGACAGAGGAGTGGTAGGAAGAGAGGGAGTAGAGCAGAGAGTATGGACAACTGTTTTTCAAGAAACTGGACCAGGGACAGGTCTGGCCATGGCAGAGGGGAGCCCAGGTCAAGGGCAGGTTTTGCTTTGAATAAGAGGGAGCAAACACCCCCTCAGTTCTGGATCCATGGACCACACCTGGAGTGCCCACCCTCCCCACTCCACCTCTCTGTGCCCGGCTTACATCCACTTGCCCTTGAAGACTTGCACTGGGGGTGTTGGAAGGGAGTGACTTAAAACAGATTGTCAAGTTCAGAGGAGAGAGGCCCAGGCTCAGAGAGAGGCAGGACCAGCTCAAGGTCACCCATATGTCAGCAACAGATCCAGAGTAGCTCTCCTGGTCTCCTGTCCCTACTCTGGCTCTTGTTCCCACCTTCATTCAGGCTGGCAGCCATTGCTCCATGTGGCGTAAGGAGAGGAGAGGCAGGAGGGAGCTGGACATGGGGATGGCTCCTTAGGGGCATGAGAAGAAATATTTATTCAGCCACGGAGCCATCAAGGTCTAGAACTGGGAACCTGTGACAGTTTCTGGTCTCAGACCTGCCCTCAACTTGCCATGTGATGCTGGGTTCTTCCCTGTCAAATACAAGGCCCCGAACCTCTTGTTGTGACCAGAAAAGGCTAAACTAGCTGACCCCAATAGCCTTTCTGCCACATATTCTGGGAGGTGAGAGGCGAGTTAGCCAGCCCTGCTCTGGTGGGGAGGGAGCCGGGAGCCAGGGTAGGGTCGGACTTGGCAGGCATGGGGCGTCGTCACTCTGCCGTGTTCCAGCCCTGCTGTCTGTGTGGAGGACAGGCTGTGAAATGTAGGTGAAACCCAAGGCTAATTTTCTCGGTCAGGAGGAGGAGGCACTGCGGCGTTTTCAAGCCCTAATTAAACCCGCTCGGGCTGTTTGACACCAAAATCAGTTCCAAGATCAATATTGCTATTCATTTAGAAGTGTAACGAGGTTAGAGAGGTGAGCAAAGGAAATAATTAACCCATTTGCAGCCTTTTTAAACAGAAACAGTCATTTTAATCTCCAGAGTAATTAGCTATGCTCTGTCCATCAATCATGACCATGGCCATTATTTTAAGTATTTGATTAATCAAGGAGGGAGGGGTTTAAGGCACCCCTGCCTGCCCCTGTTATGGGCCCCCAAATCAGGGATGACCCCTGAGCAGGTACAGGAGACACTTCTCACAGGGGTGGTGAGGGCAATGCCAAGAGTGGCTTCCACAGCCGGGCACCACGCAGGGGTCCCCAAGTGAGGGGGGTGGGCAGGTGAGGGAGCAGCTCCCTCTCTTTGCAGTCTGACGCAAGAGGAGAAGCCCCACTCTGGCCTTGGAAGTGCTGGGGGGCCAGGAGGCCTAGCCTCTGGTCCAGGCACTGCCCCTGACTTGCTGCGTGACCCTCAACAGCTCCCTCCCACTTTCCTGGCCTCAGCGTCTGTCTGTCCTAAGATGCGGCACAGGCCAGTTGAACTAACCAGAAGTTCCCGGATTCTAAGTGCCCAAGAACGTCCGGCCACTGGAGGGCAGCAGAGCCCCAGGGACCCCTGAGCCCAAGGGCTGGGCTGTCCAGAAAGGGGCGGCAGCCAAGCCGGAGCCATTCCTTTTGGCAACCCGGGTTCTGGCTGTTCCTGATGGAGAGGTCTGGTCTGGCACCATCTCTGAGGCCTCACAGCAGCCTGAAGACACAGATCACAGCAATTCTTCTCCTCGTTCAGCGGATGAGGAGCTGAGGCCTAGAGAGGGTCAAGACCTACCCAGGGCCACGCAGCGAGTGTTGGGCCCTCACACCTAGGTCCCTAAGGCTAGGTCCTGAAACTCAGAGAGGACATAGCTGGGGGAGAGGAGGGCAAAGATGATCCAGTCTGTCCACTGTCTCCTTCTAACATCCCAGATGTATTCACCCTCACCAGCCAAAAAGGTCCTCAAGGACCACGCGCCTGTCCCCCTCATGCTACAGACAGGGAAATCTGATGCTCTGAGAGAGGCACGGCGTTGCTATAGTGATCATCTCATTCAGTAAAAGTGGGGCACAAAATCCCTGCCCCCAAAGATCTCATGGTGCATTCAGGAGAAAGATGTGCAAACAGAAGGTGACCACTCAGTGGGGTAAGATTGCTAGAAGACAGGCAAGCACAGGAACCAGGGAGCCCAGCAGAGGCACCCAATGTAGCCTGGGCAGTCAGGGAAGGCTTCCTGAAGGAGGTGTGACCTCTGAGCAGAATTGGAGAAGAACATTCCAGGCAGGGAGAGGAGAGTAAGACTGGGCTGACTAGGTGGCAAGTTTGGCATGGCTGGACCACAGGTGACACAGGCCACCGCAGGAGACCAGGGAGGTGATGAGGGGATATGGGCCTGGAGGTTGACCATGAGTGTGAGCTGAGGAGTGAGGAGGGAGGTCAGGCATTAATGGGCTGTGGGGGTGCTGGTGGTTGGGCACATACTGCCCTGCCCCGCTGGGCCCCTGTTTGTGTCCACTCTGAAACAGCTGAGCACTGGGCTTGCCCTGCGAGTGGACGAGGTGCCCGAAAACCCCTTCTTAGTACTTCCTCTCTCAATAGGGCCCAGCTAAGAAAGGGGAAGCCTCTGGGGGGGCAGGGGTGGGGGGGCGGGGGTGTTGCTAAAGGGTTCTGGGAATTCAAGCTTGGGGGGAAAGGAGATGAGGATGGGCAGATGCCTCGCTGACTTGCTTCTCAAGCTTGCTCTGGTCATGGCTGTGAGGTTCTCACTGCCGTGTGCCATTCCAGCACAAACACCATCATCATTGGAAAGGCTTCTCCTTGCACGCTTCCAGTCCTGGGAAGCTCACCACCTCAAAGAGCTCTGATGGGGAGAAATTCCCTTCAGTTCCTGAGTCTACTCTCTTCTCTATAGCTGTTAGCTCTGTGTCTGGGGTGCCGTGAGAGTGCCTCCTGAGACTCTTGCCAGCACATCCCCTGAGTCCCAGAGCCTGAAGTACCCAGGCCCTCAGGGAGGCAGACAGTCCTGACTGTGATCATCAGCAGATTAGCAACCCAGAAAGGCCAGGAGGCTTGGCTGGGTCACCCAGCTGGCACATGGTTTGAAGGGAGCCGTCAAGCCCTTGGCACTGTCCCCACAGGTAGAGGGGAAGGAAGGATGGGAATGAGGAAGCAGAAGGAAGAGGAAGAAAAGAGAAGAGAGAGGAAAGAGGAGGACCAGGATAGGGCTGGGAGCTCGGTTGCTAGGGGCAACAGCAATGCATCTGAGAAAGAAACAGATGCTGAGGAGGGCAGCAAGAGGAGGGGAGCTGGGGTCCAGGCAGTCCATCCAGGACTCTCAGGGCTTGGGGGTAAGGAGTGCCCAGGCAGCAAGGACCCCAGGAGGCCGGAATGTGTGTGGAGGCCTGGTGGGAGCTCCTCTGTGGCTGCTCCGACCCCAGTCCCTAGGCAGGCATTTGGAGTGGGAGCAGGTTGGGGAGGGCCGGCCCTGCCGCATTTGTAAGCTCCCCACAGTCACTCTCACTGGTTCTCCAGCTACAATTTGTCTGGGACTCCAGAGTTCAAGCATTTGCTGTGGCTGAGGCTGCACAGGGCTGGGAAGGAATGCTTAATGGGGCGCTGGCAGCCTCGCCTTGGCCCCCTGGGGCCTGCTGGGGCACCAGCCTGCCCTCTCCTCCTCCCTGCCTCTATCCAGGGGAGGAACAT